ACTGCTACTACTACTACTACTACTACTACTACTACTACTACTACTACTACTACTAATAATAATAATAATAATAATAATAATAATAATAATAATAATAATTCCAGTGTGTGACACTGAGCATGGAGAAAAGAATGAAGTGTAAAGAGTTGTCTGTGGATTTGAGAGAAAAAAATTCTGGAAAAACATTGACAATCTCAAGGCTACAAGTCCATCTCCAGAGATCTTAATGTTCCTGTGTCCACTGTGTGCAATGTCATCAAGAGTTTTACAGCCCATGGCCTTGTAGCTAACCTCCCTGGATGTGAACGGAAGAGCAAAATTACTGAAAAATTACAACAAAGGGTTGTTTGAATAGTGGATACAGAACCCAGATGAACTTCCCAACAAATTCAAGCTGATCTGCAGACACAGGGTACAACAGTGTCAGCTCGCACTATCCGTCGCCATCTGAATGAAAAGGGACACTATGGTAGGAGACCCAGGAGGACACCACAGTGGCATAAAAAAGAAAAACTGGAGTATGCCAAAACATTTTGTGACAAAATCACAATCCTTCTGGAAGAACTTACTGTGGACAAATAAGACAAAAGTAGAGCTTTTTGGTCAAGGACATCATGGCACCATTTACAGAAAAAGAAATGAGGCATTCAAAGAAAAGAACTCAGTCCCTACAGTCAAACATGGTGGAGGTTCAAAGATGTTTTGATGTGCTTTGCTGATTCTGGCACTGCATGCCTTAACTGTATTGAACGGTATCATAAAATCTGATCATTACCAAAGAATTTTGGGGTGCAACATAGTGGCCAGTGTCAGAAAGCTGCCTCTCCACCAGAGGTCATGGGTCTTCCAGCAGGACAATGACTTGAAACACACTTAAAAAGCAGTCAGAAATGGTTACAAAGTGCTGGAGAATTCTGAAATGGCCATCGATGAGTTCAGATCTGAATCCCTTAGAACAGCGTTCCCCAACCTTTTTCAGACCACGGACCAGTTGAGGGGTATGGACTCCATGCGCGGACCGGTTCAGGGGTGGGGGCACCCCCCATGCTCATGGGTGGGTGTGTCACCACCGCAGGTGGGTGTGTCGAGCTTGTGCACATGAGTGGCACACCCTTCACGCTTGTGCGTGACATGCCCACGTTTTCGGCGAGCCAGGGGAACCAGGTTCGCAAGGGAGAGTGGGTGGGCTGTCAGGGCTGCGTGGAGTCCTCCTCACCTTGCCCCATCGCCCTGCGCTCCTGGCTGACAGAGCGCGGGAAATTCAAAAGACCTCTCCACTGGGCTCCTGCCTCCTGCCATGGGGTCTCCCAATGCTGCTGGCTTTCCGGCCATTGCCAGCCAGGCTGGAAAGCCAGCAGCATGGAGGGACCCCACAGCTGGAGACAGAGCCCTGTGGGGAGGCCACTTGAATTTCACAGGCTCCTGTCTTCAGCCGCTGGGTCCCTCCGTGCTGCTAGCTTTCCAGGCAGGCTCTTGGGAGGCCACACTGCTGTTTGTACAGGTGCACAAGCGCGCACAGGCGCAAACAACCTTGCCAGCCAGGCTGGAAAGCCAGCAGCATGGAGGGACCCCACAGCTGGAGACAGAGCCCTGTGGGGAGGCCACTTGAATTTCACAGGCTCCTGTCTTCAGCCGCTGGGTCCCTCCGTGCTGCTAGCTTTCCAGGCAGGCTCTTGGGAGGCCACACTGCTGTTTGTACAGGTGCACAAGCGCGCACAGGCGCAAACAACCTTTGCGGGGGTGAGTCTGTGCGGAGGGGGGGGAGATCTGTTTTCGCGGCCCGGTTGGGCTTAAGCCACGGACCGGCAATGGGCCGCGGACCAGGGGTTGATGACCTCTGCCTTAGAACACCTGTGGAGAGATCTCAAAACAACAGGTGGGAGATGACATCCTTCAAATCTGAAGGCCCTGGAGCAGTTTGCAAAAGAAGAGTGATCCAAAATTCCAGTAGAAAGGTATAAGATACTCATTCACAACACAAATAGAGAAGAAAAGTCAAATCTGATACAATCCCACACAGAAACCCAAAAATGCACTGGCCAAAATTATTGCCACCTTTAACTTAATACAGTATTTGGAAAAAATAACTGAAATCAATTGCTTCCTGTAACCATAAATGAGTTTCATTGTTTTTTAAAAAAAGAATTGCAAGGATGCCAATATTTTTGGCCCTGACTGTTTTAAATGTATTAAGCTTACTTAGATATCTATAGAATTCCTAGGATAGACATACAGTGGCAAGAGGCAGTGTGGTGTAGTAAAAAGTATCAGGCTAGGACTCAGGATGCCTCGGTTCAAATCCCTGCTCTCACCTGGGGAGAGTGACAGTGCTGAAGCCCTGATATATGTCCCATATAACTCTAATACCCTATTAGGATTACTGTAAGTCAGAAACAACTTCATAGCACATAAAAACAAAACAGTGGCAAGGAATCAAATATTTCAATCTGCTAATTGAAGCAGTTCTGTCAGTGGAGTCAGGAGGAATCCCAGTGACCTGTGACTGCCCTCAGATTCCGCTCCAGAGGGTGAAGCGATTTTTTGGGTACCTGAGAGGGTTACAGAAAGTAGTGGCACAATGCTAGATCCTGATAAATAGTTGACCATGTAACAGAATTTTCATTTGGCCCTGTTTGCCAATCACCAGTCACCAATAAATGGAGCCCCTTAGTAGTCTGTTTTTTATTCACCTATAATATTGAGATAGTAAGTATTAGATAAGAATTAAAGACTGGTTCAGCCATTTGTAAGTCTGAATAATTAAAGAGTCAAAAAAGCAATGGAGACACAAGTTTTAGGAACATTCCCACAACATATATTGCTTAATATAAAATGTAAACTGAAATGTGAACATAACTTTCCACAGTACTGGGCCACTTATCTTTAGTGAAAATGCAACTTACGAGTTGTACCACATTACTCATCTTCTAGTATTGCAAAAAATTGTTTTTGTACACACTTGAAAAAAATTGTGGTCCACTAGGTCAAATACAAGCCATCAAGCATGGATTGTGATATACCTCTGGTTGACAACACCCCTTGTTCTTTGCTGTCCCAGACAGGTTAAAATAATAGGAGTCTGCAAGTTGCACTCAAGCTAACATACATGACAGGTAGGCTTCCTTTCATTTGATAGATGACTAGTTGTGATACACTAGTCTGTCCTGTTTTATTTTTAGCATCAGTAAAATCACTTCTAATTTTCTGTTGTGCTATCTCTAATGCCTTGAAGACAGGGAATAAGAAAGCCAAAAGAAAATAAACAAGGAATGGCCATGCTGATCAATACCCTAGTTTCATTTGATGGGTATATGTGCACGTGAATCCATATATTAACAAATTAAGGTTGGTGATTTAAAAGAGAATGTGGTATTTAAGTACTTAGAATGACAACCCAGAATTGTCCTGGTACTATTTTGGCACAATAAAAGCAAATATGCAAAAACATGTGCAGATCAGAGCAGCAGGTTTCCCAAATCTACTCATCTAAAGACCATTAAAGATCATTTTTCAAGTGTGCATACTAATTCATTATAGTACAAATGTCAGTTAATTAAAGATTAGCCTTCCTGGTGATGAACCTCCTCATGAAATAATGATGTCTTGCTAATAACCCATCTTGTAATTCCAGCTCCATACTCCAGTTTTAATTTAAGGTAATTATTCATTTCCTAGTCCAAGTAACTGAAAGGATTTTGTGTGGATTGTCGTGGAGGATAAAAACCTCTCCATTTGTCATTGTTTGTATTTAATCCACACTGCTAGGAAACTGGTCACTCAACAGAGAATCTTCATGTTATTACACAGGGCTCCATGCAAAGCAAAGGGAAAAAATGTATTGACCTATTATGCTGTGATCACAACTCCTCTGAATGAGTAGTGACAGCACAATTCACCCCCACTAAAAACAAAGCCCAACACCATTCAGGAGCACAAAGCAGTGATTAAAAACCAGACAATACTTGTGTATAAGGATATAGGACTTACTTGTATCCTTTGGGTGTCAGGATGCACTTTGAGTCATGCTGACAAGGGTTCAGGTCTTGGGCACAGAAATCCAACTTTTCTTCACACAACTCACCTGTAACAAAGTATAGCCAATCAGTATAACCATACCACCACGGGAGCTAGGAAACAAAAAGCAGCTACTATTTATTTCTATGGCAACTCTCAGTACAGCCTAATAACTTCAGCGATATAAGGAGCTGGCAAAGGATAATCTCTCTCTTGGTATAATCTTGGCTTTCATGACTTTTCTTCAGCAATGCTTCTTTGTGCATAGAGCTGCTATTTAACTTGTTTATTTACTCAAACTTATTCAGGGCTCTTCCATAAAAAATCAAGGTTGCAAGATTCAGAAAGAAATGCAAGGCTGCCCAAAAAAGCTTGACAAGAAGATTGACAATAAATGATCCCTGGAGTGCAGTCATAAGCCAATCTTTCATGCTATAAATTGACTATTTAACTGGTTAAAACATTATGCTGTACACATGAGGTTTTAGCACAATTCAGTACAGCATCTTGGCTAAAGTGGAACACTCCATCCACTCACACAAATCTTCCATCTCCATCTATATTGTGGCAAAACAGTTTCAAATGTGCACATTTGTCCTTTCCTACATCACAGCATATGTGAACAAAGTACAGGCCTAGCTCACCATTTTCTGAGCAGTGTTGGAATCTTCTCTAGTACTGCTAATCCAGTAATAGCCTCATCTCAGGAGTGACAGTGATAATTCGATAGGTAGAAAACTTTTGTACTGTATAGCAACAGTGTATGAAACAGCTAAAGGGAAACAACTACTGTGGTGCTCTTTCAGTGGTGCCAATATATATATGTAGTCCCTATAACCACACTTGAAAAATATGCTCTTTTCAGTTACCAGAAGACAAACACTGCTGAATATATTTTCACAAGGGAAAATGCTGAGTCTCAGCAAATGTATTCTAAATTATATTAATAAATCTCAGAAATGGATACATCCTTTCAGTTACAATCTTCAGCATAGTCAGCTGCTTAGACCTAATGTTAACTATATTGTAAGATAAGAAATGTCGACCTAGTACATCTTGACTTCAGCAAAGCTTTTGACAAAGTGCCCCGGATTAGCAAGCTAACTAGCTGTGGGCTAGAGAGATCAAGTGTCATGTGGATACACAATTGACTACAGAATCATACACAGAGGATGATGATTAATGGGTCCTTCTCTAACTGGGAAGAGGTAACTAGTGGGATACCCCAAGGCTCAGTCCTGGGCCCGATGCTCTTCAATATTTTTATTAATGATCTGGATGAGGGACTGCAGGGAATGCTTGTCAAATTTGCAGATGATACCAAATTGGGCAGAATAGCTAATACCCTAGAAGGCAGAAACAAAATTCAAAATGATCTTGGATAGGATGAAGCACTGGGTTGAAAGCAACAGAATGAAATTCAACAGGAATAAGTACAAAGTCCTGCACCTTGGAAAAAGAAACCAATTGCGCAGTTACAAGATGGGGGATACCTGGCTCAGCAAAACTACGAGCGAGAAGGATCTCGGAATTGTCATAGATCCCAATCTAAATATGAGCCAACAGTGTGATGTGGCTACAAAAACAGCTAATGCTATTTTAGGCTGCATTAATAGAAATGTAGTTTCCAAATCCTGCAAGGTGCTATTCCCCCTCTATTCAGCACTGGTTAGGCCTCACCTTGAGGATTGTGTCCAGTTCTGGACACCACAATTCAGGAAGGATGCTAACAAACTGGAACAAGTTCAGAAGAGGGCAGCAGGGATGATCAGAGGACTGGAAACCAAGCCATACGAGGAAAGGCTGAAAGAAGTGGGCATGTTTACCCTTGAGAAAAGAAGACTGAGGGGTGATATGATAGCACTTTTCAAATATTTGAAAACCTGTCATACAGAGGAGGGGCAAGATCTGTTTTTAATCATCCCAGACTGCAGGACACACAAGGATGGGCTCAAAGGAAGCCAGATTTCGGTTAAATATCAGTAAAACCTTCCGAACTGTTAGAGCAGTGCAACAGTGGAACCGGTTACCTCGGGAGTTGGTGAGGCATTGAAGAAACCTTAGATAATCACCTGGTAGATATGCTTTGATTGTATTCCTGCGTTGTGCAGGGGGTTGGACTTGATGGCCTTGTAGGCCCCTTTCCAACTTCACTTTTCTATGATTCTGTGAAGATTAATGGGCCTGATCCAAGAACTGTGCAACTAGTTCCATGAGGAAGCTTAACTGTGTTTTTCTTTTTCTTCACAAGCATACCTGTGCTAATCTGTTAAACGAAGATCTAGAATTCCAAGGGGCAACAGTTAAAAATTCACTTTATATTCACATACTGCCTTCAGGGCACTTATAGTAGCTCTTGTCAAACTTTTAAAAATATTTTAAATAGAGAAAGAAATCAGAAGTGCAAGGTAGAATTGTGAGACAAAACCAGTTCCCATGGAGAATAAATATTACTCTCTTATGGCACTCACAACACTGAAGCATCCTAAAGAACAAGCCTATTTACAACTATATATTATATCACAAGTGGGATGGGTCCAATGATCACAAAACTTTTTTTTGTGATTCTGACTGGCCTTCAAACCCCCCTCCCCCACATATCTTTGTTTCAAGATGATTGTAAAAGCCAAGTGAGCCAAGACAGTAATACCTAAGCTGTTCTAAATTAAGCAACAATCAATAGAATAGCAAAGGCTCCAGAGAGCTTAGTATTATGGTTACATAAATTAAATTATACCAGATACACAGAGATTACACAGAACAAAGATGAATCTCTGTGCACAAGAAATGCTACTGAATCTGAAGTGTGAATGCTCTTAATATAGATTATCTTTCACATTTTCCAGGGATGGGCAGCTTCAGCAGATCACGAAATCTCAAAAGTTGGTGTCTGGCAGTCACCTCAGAATTTTTTATTTTTTTTTTAAAAAAACACGTTAAAGAGTATGAGGAGACAGCTACAATGTACTAATGGTGCCTCACTACTTTTTTTTGCCTTTTTTGTGTAGGGGGAAAGCTGCAAAAGGAGTGAAAGTAGGCTTTTTGGTGAAACTTCAGATTTGGAGAATACAAAAACTGTTTTAAAAAGACCCAAACTGGCTAAAATTGATTCCATCTTGCTGTTGGATCCCATATGGAACCTGAGGGTTGTCCTGAGCACCAATTTGTTTATAGAGAATCAAATGGCAGCAGCAGCAAAAACTGCCTTTTAAAAACTACACTGGTGGCACAATCCATGACACTTTACAGATATCAGGCCCTTCCCACATTTATCCAAGATTTACCTTGGAGATCAGTTAACATATTTCAGCTCACAGGAAGTTGCTCTTGCATACAATTTGGATGCTACAATGCTGTAACTTTAGCTCTTCATGAATACAGGGAAGAGAAACTAGCTGCTTGTTATGCTAGCTGCAGATGTTTTCCAGGGTCCAATTCAAGGTGATTGTGCTTAACTCCCTACTGAATTGCCATGTTATTTGATTCAAAGCCTGCCCTGCAGCGGATGCTGAAAAACACGGATTATAGCAAACACTATTTTAATAGTGAACACTATAGTGTACAAAGCATTCTGGAAGCTGAGTCATGGCATCTGGACTTCTTTCTTGTTAGGTTGAAACGTTTCACTACTCATCCAAGTAGCTTCTTCAGTCTGCGAAAACACTGTATATACAAAACATTGTATCTGGTGCTCTCTAGTGTCCAATTCTGGTAATGGCATCATAGAAATACATTTCTCTAGCGAACACTATACACAGTATGGTTTCTGGCACCCTCTAGTGGTTAGGTCTGGTAACTTCACCTTAAGATATACACATTTCTAGGATTTTTCTTTTAATATTTTAAAAGTGAATCAGTGGATACTGATCCTGCAGATATTGGGGGGGAGCTACTGTATTCTTATTAGGATTCGATGACACTTACCCTTACTATGTTCGCTGAAAGTGACAATCTCCTGTCCTAGGTACTGACAATCTTCTTCTAGATTAGTGCCTCCAGATGTTTTTTAATTTCATCTCTCATGATCTTCCCCCCCCAACAGATCATGTTAGATGGTGCTGAAAAGAGTTGCGGTTCAAAACAGCTGAGGGCACCAGGTTGGAAGAGGCCGATTATGAGCAAAGCCTTTATGGTGTTCTCTGTGGGCTGAAGAATTCATCTTTTTGGATGCCTTTTGAAAGCTGTCAGAGTGACAGCCTATCTTGACGTAATTGCTGAACTTCTGTGCCTGTTATCTGATAATTCCAAGATTATGAGCAATCATCTACTGTTGTGCCTGGATTATAATTTAATTTTCAAAATGCAACATGTCAAAATATTCAATAAATTTTAAAAATGATTTCCACATGTGTTATCTTCAGTAACCCTTACAACAATATTGTAAAGCAGGAATTCTTGCCATAGTCAAATCAAGTTTCATTATATTAAGTGTATGACCTAAAACATGAGTTCCCAAGGGAGTTGTGAAGTGTTTTCTGGGAAGTTGCCGCAGTTAATTTTAGTTGCCATTAATTTTATATTTGTTACATACAGTGGGGTCTTGACTTGAGAACTTAATCCGTATTGGAAGGCGGTTCTCAAGTCAAAAAGATCTCAGGTCAAATCTGCATTTCCCATAGGAATGCATTGAAAACCATTGGATCCGTATCTGCTCTTTTCCGTCCATAGAAACTAATGGGAAGCTGCTATTCTGCCTTCGACCACTAGAGGGGGATATTTTGTCTCTTTTTTTCTTAGGTCAAGAAAGGTTCAGGGAAGGCAGGGAAAATACAGTCCAGGCAGTACAGTACCAGGCAGTCCGAAGACTGTCTCCCAATCCACTCTCTAAACGCTGGGAGGAGTGAGGAAGCAGACAGGCACCCTTTTCACTGGCCAACAGTTAACTGAAAGTTCAAATTTTGCACTTTCCCTGCCTCCCACGTGGTTTTTTTCAGTTCTTAACTCAAATCTAAGTATGTAAGTCAAGTCAATATTTTCCTATGAGAGTGGTTCTTAAGTCAAAATGTTCTTAACTCAAGCTGTTCTTAAGTCAAGACCCCACTGTAAATATATTAAACATAGTATACACAAAATCGTCTTAATCATCTTGGCCCAAAGTGAGATAAATTTAATTTAAACTGGAATTGTAGGCAACCTAGAGTTCTTAATTATTTCTGTACCTCTTTGGACAGATTTTCCTTTTATGCATGCCTATCACTCCTATGCTCTCTGAAAAGGCAGTTCTCCATCATTTCTCTCTGCTCCTTCATGTCCACCTTTGGAGGACTAATGTTAGCCTTTTGAATCTGAATGTTAGCCTGGCTCAAAGATGCCTGAATGAGGCAAGCACGCAGTGTATGCTGAAAACACTGATGCCCAAGATGGTGGTAGGATTGAAAAGTTGTTGCTCCCATGGCAGTGGCACCTTTTACTTCAACTGAATCTCCTGCTTTTCTGGCTGTGGTGATGGCAGTGCAGTGAAGGGAGAGTTCCTGGGTAGGGAGATGCCTCCAGCCCCCACCTGAGTCATGGAGGAAGGCAAGAGGGGGAAAATGGTGAGGGAGTAGAACCAGGGAAGGGGGCATGAGGGAGTTTTGGGAGAGGAGTTTATTTGGGCTTGAGGGGGAGGGGCTCTTCACTGATGGGCCTTTTTGAGGGAGAGGAGACATGAAGGTAGGGTTGTTTCCATACCCAAAAGAATAAATTAAACTCAAAGTGTATTGACATTTTTTTCTTCCCAAATTTTATCTGGTAGAGGCAGATTTACAGCCCTCTTTGATAACTAGGTATTATTACATTAATACTGTATATTAGATATTCCAATACAGTGGTGCCCTACATAGTGACGATAATCCATTCCGGAAAAATTGTCGCTATCCGGATTCGTCGCTATGCAAAAAGAAAAAGCCCATAGGAATGCATTAAACCCCGTTTAATGCATTCCTATGGGCTTAAAACTCACTGTTATGTGAAAATCCTCCATACGGCCGCCATTTTCGCCACTTGGTATGCGAGGAATGGGCGCGAAAACACTGCGGGTGGCCATTATTTCCCCGACGGCCATTTTGGAACCGCCGATCAGCTGTTTTTAAAACACTGCTATGCGAAAATAGGTAAGCGAAACAGCTTTTGTGATCGCAAAAAATCTGTTGCTATGCGGATTCGCTGTTAACCGAGGCACTCGCTAAGCGAGGCACCACTGTATATGTTTCTATTCTGAAAAATCTATTTTAATGTGTTTCCTTTACCTCATTAAAATACCTCATTTTTATGCTAATGTGGCTGGGGGTTCACAAGTTACTTTGCTATTAAAAAGGGGTCATGACTGAAAAAAGTTTGGGAACACTGAGCTAAAAGCTAGTCTCTGTAATCAAGATGGTGTACTGAGACTGAGAGACTGATTAGGAGTTTGCTTATGACAGGCTTGGGAGTTTGTTCCTGAGGTGTGACCTGGTATTGGGGATTTCACATTCTTAGCTACTGCATTGGTTCTGTCTCAGGAACATTATTTCTGTCTGTTTAGTTTAACAATTCATTAGTGTCTCATTTGGGAAAAGAGAAAAAAACATTATTAGCTAAAGAAAAAACAGGACATCCCAGTGACTCATTCAATAGTATTGATGTTTGTGGCTGGTTCACTTAAAACTAGCAAAATGTTTGTAAAATGTATGAATTTTTGAAAACATGTACTGTTATTATAACTTCAGAAGGACCTGTGAGGCATGAATGACGTCAAAATAAATAATTTTAGTTGATGTGACTGTCACAGTGGCAAGTCATATGGACATACAAATTTGATAATTTTAAAACTATTTGTGCTAGAATATAAAGACTCATGTATGAAACTATGACAGAGGATGTAACCATATAATGAATAAAATTACTGCAGTCATTTTGGATGAATGCCATATGACTAAAAAGGAAGCTGGAGGAAAAGTAAAAAGAAAACTATGATAATGAAATAGGCTTAAAAGGCAACTAACCTTTTTCCACTTCATTCAGATTAGCAGCTTGTGTTGACAAAGACAGAAGAGACAAAGAGACTTTTACATTGTACTGCAACAGCATACACAAGTAAATTAATGCACAATTAACAGAAGCAGAAAAACTAAGTTGATACAGCAAAACTGAAGCAAGCTTTCCTTTTTCTTTTGAGCAGAGGAAACAAATACAGTGGTGCCTCACTTAATGATTTTAATTGGTTAAAAAAACATCGCTATGGGAAAACATCGCTAAGCGAAACACGTTTCCCCATAGAGATGCATTGAAAACCGGATAATCCATTCCAATAGGAACGGATTGCCGTCCTTAAGCGAAAATCGCCATAGGAAACATCGCTAAGCGATACAATGTTTCCCCCATTGGAATGCATTGAAGCCTATTCAATGCATTTCAATGGTTTTGCGATGTCCGTTTTCGCTATTTTTAAAGTGTCTTAAAATGTTTGAAACCTGTTTTAAATGTTTGGGATCGTTAGTGCACCTTCTAAAACGTGTGCAAACTTAATTTGGCTTTGTTCTGAGTCTTCGTTAATTTTTGGTGAATTCCCCCCCCACTGAAGGGCATTGAACCCAAGTTTGACAGCTGTCAAACGGGCACTTCAATGCATTCCAATGGGGGAGAAAAAATTCACCAAAAATTAACGAAGACTCAGAACAAAGCCAAATTAAGTTTGCACACGGTTTATAAGGTGCTCTAATGAATCCAAGCATTTAAAACAGTTTCTGACTCTTTGTTAATTTTTGGTGAATTTTTTCCTCCCCCGTTGGAATGCACTGAAGTGAATGGTTGGAAATATGGTCATTTAATGAAGCGGGTGGGAATAAAATAGGCGTGTTATGGGACACCATGAAAGCTGTTATGAGAGGAATTGCTATAAGAGAATCTTGTAGATTAAAAAGATTGAGAGAAGGAAATGTAAAAAGGATTGAAGAATCATTAAAGGATTTAGAAACTAAATATTTTATAGATAGAGACAATAAAAAATTATTAGAGATACAAGCTAAAAGAAAGGAATTGGAAAGCTTAGAATTAGAAAAAGTACAGAGGGACCTGATATACACTAAAAGGAATTTTTTTGAACATAGTAATAAAAATTCAAAACTTTTAGCTAGAATGGTTCATACCAAAAGAACAAAAAACAACATTGGTGTGATTAAAGATAAAACAGGAAAAAACTGCAGTTTAATGAAAGAAAAATTAAAGATTATACAAGATTTTTATCAAAATTTATATAAAAGTAATAGTGCATCAAAAGAAGATATAGAAACTTATATTAAAGAAAATGTTAAGAGTGAAATATCAGAGAACGATAAAAAAGACTTAGATAAAGAAATAAAAGAGGAAGAGATTATAGAGATAATTAATAAACTAAAATATGGTAAAACCCCAGGTTTTGATGGATTAGGTTCGGAATACTATAAAACCTTTAAATCAATATTGATCCCTAAATTAAAAGTGCTTTATAATGAAATCTTGGAAGGAGAGAGGATACCAGATTCATGGAAACATTCATTGATAACTCTTATCCCAAAACCTAATAAAGATCTAACAGACCCAAGTTCATATAGGCCTATTTCTTTACTAAATCAGGATGCAAAGATATTTACAGCAATACTTGCAAATAGAATTAATAAATTTATTATAAAATATATCAAAGAGGATCAGAATGGTTTCTTGAAAGGTAGGCAAATGGAAAACTTAACAAGGAGGGTTTTGAATATTATACACAATATAGAAAAAAATAAACTGAAGGCAGGCATTTTATCATTAGATATATTTAAAGCATTTGACTGTGTGGAATGGCCAACATTAAAGACTTTGTTAAAGGGTTGGGGTTTTGGAAAAAAGTTTAGGGGGATAATAGATCAATTATATTTAGAGAATACCTCTGTAGCAATAGTTAATGATGGGATGACAGATCAAATAGCTCTTGGCCGAGGTACTAGGCAAGGTTGTCCTCTCTCTCCAGTTCTGTTTTGCCTGGTTATTGAAATGTTAGCAAATGTAATTAGGAACGACGATTTAATTGAAGGTATAGGAGAAAAGAAGACAAAGATTAATTTATTTGCGGATGATTCTTTATTGACAGTGAAAAACCCGTTAGAATGTATAGATAAAATTAAAACACACTTAGAAAAATTTGGAAAAATAACCGGATTAAACATAAACTGGCAAAAATCTGACTTAATGTTGTTTAATTATAGTAGAATAGAACAAGAAAAGTTTACTGAAAAACATGATTTTAAAATATGTAAAACAATTAAATACTTAGGAATAGATTTAGCGAAAAATATTCAAAAGATAAAGGATTATAATTATAACAAACTAAAGGAAGTAATTAATAAGAAACTACAAGAATATGATAAGTTCAAATTATCTTGGTTTGGAAAGATTGCATTGGTAAAAATGAAAATTTTACCAAAAATTAATTTTCTATTCAGAATGTTACCAATGCAGTTAACAGAGGATGAGTTGAAATATTGGCAAGGAATAGTTAACAAATATTGTAATGAAGGGAAGAAATCTAGAATAAATAAAAAGTATTGGTATAAAACAACAAAAAAAGGTGGTATAGGTTAACCAAATATAAGAAACTATTATTTAGCTAACCAACTGAGGTTTATTGGTGAAATTATATATAATCCGGAAAGGTTAATTTGGTGGGAAATAGAATCATCAGAACTACAAGGAAATATAGAAAAATATTTATTTGCTAAAGGTAAGAAAGACAAAATAAGTCAAGTTAATAATCCTTTTTTAAAGACACTGTTAAATATATGGTATAAGTATAAAAAGAATTTATGTTCATCATACTCTCCATTTAGATTACTGACAGAAATAGAAGATTTTCCTACCAATATGAAGGTGTATATGGATCTATTTAAAGAAGAAAAAGTGATTAGACTGAAAGATTGGCTGTATAAAATGAGATCGATAGATCAAATGAAACAAGTATTTCAAAACAAGACTATTTCATGGTTGAACTATGCACAACTGGAAAGATGGACTAAGGAATGGGCAAATAAATATAATAAAGGTAGAGAGCACACAAAATTTGAACAATTTTTACTTTCATATGAGGACATTCAGATGACTGACTCAGTAAAAGGTACAGTAAGTAAAATTTATTCACTTTTTAATTTAGAGGAAGAAGAAAGTGAGAAAGAAGGATTGAAATTGGTGTGGGAACAAGATATTGGGAAAAGAATAAATGAAGAAGAATGGAGGAGGATATGGAAAATGAGGATTTTAAGATTGATGTCAGTAAGAATAAAGGAAAAATTTTTTAAACTTAGTTTAAGATGGTATTTAACACCGGTAAAATTAAACAAAATCAACACCAGTCATCCGAATGTCTG